TGCATGGTGAGTTCTGCCATCTCAATATATGGCACTAAAGAAAACTCAAGCAACTTAAATGAAGGGATTACTTGAAAATATTATCAGTTATTGCAGAGTAAATCTTGCATGAATGCTTCCATTCAAAAATTAGAGGACTTCTGTTCAATTTAATTGATTTGATCTGAACTACTATATAGATGACCCCTGAGAGTGAGGAATCTCAAAGAAGTAATTGTTACTTAAAATAAGGATGTTTTCTAATTCTGTTTGCAATGTGATCTCCTTATGTATTCCATAATCAGCCTTCCTTACTACTGAGAGACAGTTATGTTCTTCTCTTTCTGTATCTGGAAAGGGGACACAGTGACATCAAGGGCATAAGGGCAGTCTGAATACACACTCTTGGCCAAAAGAATTCAAATTCAGGTGCATGAGGACCCTTGAATATTGAGACTGTAACTGATAAATGTTTTGAAGAACCTGATATCATGAGGTAAGTGGCTGTTCTTTATTAAAAGAATCCATGGTTCCAACAACAATTTCTTATTGCTGTCAATTTTTGAGTGGGTGTTTACTCTTATTTTTCTATAATTTACAAATTTGCTGTTTTATTTTGCTTTGAAATACAGATCAAAGGAATGGTCACAATGCCATCAAGTGCATATAGTAAACCTGGTTCCTATTATTTGAAAGGACAGAAAAAGCATTTTTCATTAAAACTTTTTTTTCTGGTAAAACTTGGTTGATAAAATGTCACTGCATTGGCAGTGATTTATGAAAGTTGATTATCACACTTAGTCCTGTAGTTTATGTAATTGTAGTTATTTTTAATGGCTAGGTCTTACTGAAACAATAGTTCTTAAGTGCTTTTTCATCCCTTTAGATTCTAGTATATCCATTCTCTTGTTCTAATTAAGCCTTATTGATGGCCCTTTTTGCCTTTTTAATAATTTTTCATTAATTTCTAAACTTGAAATAAATGTTCTTTTAAAGAGGTATTCAGCCCTGAATTTTCTAGTTACAGAGGACCATCATATATATGTACACACACAAACACACACACATATATATATATATACAGGAACTCAATCACTCATTTTCTTAAAATTATTCATAGTTATGTCATTTTCACTCCACACAATCATTTCTTAAGAGACATCCAGAGGATGATGGACACTTAGCTTGGTAATACACATTGCTCTTCTCCAAATGCAGATATTCCTTAGGATCAGTAAAAATAATGGGCAAATAATGAAACATTAACAAAGTAAGTACACCAGTTTTCACTTCACTTGCTTTGATAGATAAATTCTTGGCTTACAACTTAACTGTCCTAAAGTCCACCTCATTTCCTGTCAGAGTTTACTTGTGATGCAGAGCTGGCTGAAAGGAAGGACCACTTGTGCCTGAGGCACAGTGCAAAACCTCATGCATGTGGGCACAGATTTGATGTGCAATCCTCTAGTGATAATCCTGGATTAACCAGTCTCTTATTACTTGCTCCCTCTGGGTCGTGCCAAACTGTGTTGCCACATTATGAATCTTATCAAGGAATTAATCAGATTGGCACTCTCCTGTGTGTTATTTTTCATAATAGCTCATCATGGAACTCCCGAGAACAGCTGGGTTGGTACAGTTTGTAGTGTGAGGGTGGGATAATTTAGCAAGAATGGAACTCCTTAAGAAACATCCCATGACTGCCTAAAGCTCAAATTATCCACAAATCTAACATGATTCATCAAGTGATGTCATTGCATGTGGTTCTGTCTGTTGACTTCGAGAAGAGTAGTAACTTCTGCAGGAGTACAGGAGGAAGTGGTGAGAAACAGTCATATGGTAAATTATTGCAACAACATTTGCATGAAGATGATCATTTTTATTTTGGTCCGTCTGTTACGTTTTTAGGTGAATCTTAATGAATGATGGATGTGGGCTGCACCAGCCAATGGAGCAACAGAAATTAGTGGGCTCTTTCTTGTTCATGTGCAAACTGACAAAGGGCCCCACATCAATGCTTTCATAATGTTAAACCTTGTTAAAAAGGTAGAGCTAAATAAGTGGGTAAAATGGTAACTGACAGTTTGAGGAGGCAGTAGGAAGATAGATGCTCCTTGAGAAAAAAAATCAGCTGCGGAAGAGAAGATAAAACCCCCATGTATTATAAATTTTGGGTCTTGCTCTTCAAGATTTCAGTATCTGGAATCCTGTTAGCAGTGCCAGTGGCAAGTTTGATTCATATTGGAAGACTTAGGTGAATGAAGATGCTCCAACACAACAGAAATGCACCTGAGAATACTCTATTAAAAAAACCAAAACTAGTTAACTATTCAAAATACAGTTAATTAGGAAATATTATTTAATACTCTGGCCCTAGAAAATAGCAAGACAGTGTCAAGATAATGTTTTCTTTCTGGGAGTTAGGTCTGCTGGGTCTGTGGCAGTTCCATCTCTCAAAGTCTCTTGCACCATCCTATGAAGTCTGTTTCTTGCTGACTGAAACATTCAGAGTATGATGACACTGCTTATAAATATTCAATTATATTCAGTATAAATCATGGTAGAGGTTTTTCTGTCCCTGCTAGCAGTGTAGGATCTGCTTGACCCTGATGTTCTGCCATTTGATTGGTTTTACTTAATCACTCTTTCCTTTGCTACAGCATTGTGCAGGTCCCTGGAGTGCCTCCACTCCTTCATTTGGTTTGATAACCCAGTAAAATATAAGACCAGCCACGCTTTTCAGAGAGCAAAGAAGCTGAGGATTTCAGCAGAGAAGATGCAGAAGCACGGGACATGGCTGCTGAGGTACTTGGTATGTGACCCCAGGTGTGCCAGCTCCCTCTCTGAGCAGTGACATGGTGCCCATGCTCTCACCCAAACAGAAGGACTCGGGGTGCTGGTAGGGGTTATGCACGCTGATTGCCAGGAAAGTGTCCATACATTTTCACTTCAAATTGAATGTTTCTTGCCTGTGCTAAAATGAACCTGGGCTTTTGTGCATATTGACAATAAGATTTTGGATAGACAAAGAGTGCCTGTGTGGGAATGAGATTATTTATGACAGACCAATATAAACTAACAACAGATAAGTCATGTATGGACACGCTCTGCACATATCAAAGCACATTGTGTCTTTTACTGCATTACTTTTATGACTTTACAAACAGAACAATATTAAGAAATTTGTATTTCATAAGCCTCTCATAAATTAAGCAATTTTAATACATGCTGTCTATGACTAAGATTATGTATGCATTGACACTTTGCAAGTTGGTTCAGGTTGTCTTTTTCCACACATCTAAGTTCTTTGTTAACATATTAAACAGAATTTAAGATCTGCAAGAAATCGACTTTACATGGCCACTTCCATGCAATCAAAAGGGTATGTGTTTGTTGCATTAGGAACTTGTGAAAGAAAAAAGTAACCTGTATCCATTTTCTTTTTAAAGTTTTGCTTAATCTTGCAGTGAGGCAGGCCCTGCTTGTATTGATACTGTGAAAACACAAAGGATATCTAGATGCCTTTTTTTCTTAGAGCTTCTTAATTTTTTAATGTTTGGAGAGGTTTTAGCCTTTTGTACCAGTTACACATGTTGAATCTTATTGAGGGAGCTTTCATCAGAAGTTTTAAGTAATTATTATTATTATGCTGTTAGTTTTGATAAATTAGTTTGAAGGAAAGCACTCTTCATTAGAATCTGAAGTACTGGTACCTCTCTGACAATTGGTTCCTCTCTGACATTCATCTATTAGCTGTATGTCAAGAGACAGTCAAAGATAATAAAAAGTCAAAGAGATTGTGATTTTGTAGTGTTGTTCCTTAGGGAGGAGAGGTAAAGCACTTGTTTCTTGGCTTTCTCTTTCATGTGCCTTCACTTCCTCGCGATCTGTACCTTTGTCCCAGTGACCTCTGCGACTGTTCATGTGAGGTGACAAGCCTCTTAATGTGGCTTTCACTGTCAGTAGTATTCCTGGTTTAAAGATCCAGTAACGCCAGACTTATCTCACATAATACTGTTCATACTGCAGCTTTTTTCTAAGAGGGGCCAAACCAGAGGTGCAAGGAGGAAATATTTTTTTTTGTTTTTCTGCTCTAATTAAATTAGTTTAAACTAATTGACTAACTCTTCTGATTACATTTGGGTTAAAACGAAATTCTACTGGTATTAGTTTGGGGTTGAGCATTCTGAATTTTATTGGTTTACTGTTAATATTTCTGGTTGTTTCTGTTTAAAAATTACCACCCCATCTAAGGGCAATACGGGAACATTTCTGTCACTAACTCTATTTCAGCAGTAATTTTAGATGCCGTTCCCTCTGTAAAGCAAACTGATGGCACCAGTGAATTGCTGCAGCTCATGACTGTGTAACTGTGTTTAATTTGTTCATTGATACTCAGTGCCTTCAGTGACAAATCCCAGGAGGAAAAATACCTCGTTTAGTGTGAGGAGAAGTTGGGGTCAGACACTGATCACGGGGGATCAGCATCGCACCGTGGGCATCTCTCCCCGCGGCACTCGGGGCTGAATTCAGCCTTTTAGAAAAAGGTGTTTAACTGAAAGCCTTTTTTTTTACGTGCGTGTGGTAGATTATGTAGACACTGCACAACCGAAACGCGAGGCTTCGCTTTCATGTTCTTGCTGTGTCCGTGAGATCCCGGGGCCGAGGGCCCGGCCCCCTGCCCGGTGAGGGCGCGGCGGGCGGGGCCGCACCGCCCGCGCTGCTCCCAGGCCGCGGCCTGCCCCGGCCCG